ATTCAAAAAAAAATCGCAAGGTTCTCCGTGGAAACTAAGGATGCACGCAACAAGAGAAATCGGAGCAATGGAACCCGATAGCAGGGACTGTCTTTTATCTGAGAGGGAGTGAAACATTGGCTGCTGTGAAGCTGGCCAACGGAAATCTATACTAGGAAAAAACTTTACTCAGATCTTGAGTAGCTGAAAAAGGCTCCACTCGTTGCGCAATAAACAACATACAGTGCCATATTACGCACTCATAGTAATGACACAGCAGATTTGAAAAAAAACATTGCGAGGTGTCTTATTTTAATGAATAAATTTTACCTAATCGTTTAAACTTGATTTAAATATTGAGGCGTCACAGCTCTCTCTCTCTCGTGCAAAAATTTAGCTTTCGAATTTAGAAAGAGATTAAAAACTCGATTCATAGATGCCAGATTCAGCAGCAGCAGTATTGTTCCATGTTTATCTGCAACATTTCAAAAGAATCCTCAAATTTTTACGGCTGCTGTAGCTAATTAACTAGAAATAAAAAAATTCCTAAACGGAACCGCCATTTTGTGCTAAAAAATTGTATTATATCTTTGTCTTTAACATTTTCTATCAGAGATACCAGCGTACAAAATTTAATCCAGAATTAGAATTGATGCTTTTTTTAATCTCTTGCATACATTCAAGCTTCCTCTCATAGAAATTCTGAATATCTATGCACGCCTTAAAGCAAAACTTGAATTTACACCCGAAAATGTCATCAATAAATATTATGAGGGTTCCCGATCATTCAATGTCGATTCTAAAAACTATTCTCGCTTGATATTACCTGTGACAGGATTCCAATTAAGTAGTTTTCTTAATGTCTAGGTAATTTATGGTAATTTTCTATGAAAATCTCATGCCATTATGAGGGAAATCGGATCTCAGCGGAGGTTTACCCGCCGCACGACACCGACATTAGAAGATCTAGCAAAGAAGAAGAAATTATAAATGTGAATGATGTCCGTGACTTGTGTCTTGGAATGATTACTGAGAATTGGAATGATTAGAAGAGTTTGTTAGTTAGTTTAGTGGCCACATGTTTACTATAGCGCTTCAGCTATTTAGCTATCTCGCACCGAAAGTCATGTTGAACATCACTAAAGAGGTGGAAGGTCTCAATTATCAAAAGTTTCTCAAATCAAAAGTAGGTCATCACCCACAAGGGGTGAAAGGTCTTAGATGTCCAGCCCGCTGAAACTGGCTCGAAAGAAGAAGCGTTAGCATCTCAAAGAGACGAAGTGACAAGGAAGGACAGGTAAAAAGGAACAGAAACAAAGACACTCGAACAAGAGGTCGCTTACACGGGACGTCGGCCACCCGCACGAGAGACAGAGAAGGGAAATGTAAGGAATCCTACCTACATAATAACTTAACCCCACAACTGAGACCTGCAGTCAGACACGGCGCTTAGGAACAATCCCCCTAGGAGCGCGAAATCCCATAAACTTCTGACGCGCACAGACACACGTCAGAAGTCCCCCCTGAGGGGAATGATTAGAAGAAGAAGAAACTTATGCAAAAGAGGATCCACGCTCCATGTTTGTGACCTGAGATGAGGAGCTACAAGATGGAGGAATGAGGCGATCAATAATTAACGCATGCTTTAAATAATTCGCTTTATTATCGAAATTATAATTTCACTTCAAGGAGATACAATTCTACAATGATAATATGAGTCATGTCTCATTTTCGAGATGAGCGGCGCTTCAATATTAAGTAAGTTGATTTTATTCTCGTACAATCGACGAATGATTTTGTTTGACAATTCTATAATTCGAAATATGAGCCATGTAATACTTTCAGTTGGTTCTTCTCGTCAGCTACAAATCTATTAGAGTGTTGATCAAGTATTTTTCATTAAGTAACTTTATTAAAGTAACCGCAATCAGGTTGTAGACATAAGAGATAGATTAGAGGGAGACGTCCGACGAGGATGGGAGCTTAGAGTCAATCATCACACTACATAAAATAGATAATTCCTGGTAAGCTTAGGTCCACAATATAGTTCAAGTCCGCTGGACTAATTACGCTTTATAATCGTTAGTAAACTAAACGCTCGTGTATAAATTGTCTACCTACATCTCGCAGTTCAGATCACGTCTCATTTACTGGAATGAGAGCTTAAAATTTCTCAAATTAAGTTATTTCGTCGAGTTCAAAATTAGTGACCGGTTCTTGGTAGCTTGTCACCCATTTAGATGGAATACTCGAAGATTTGACGCTGGATTACAATTATATATTTTTCTGATTTACGAAATTACACTTGCATTTAAAAGCAAAGAAAACGCCAAGAAAATTCACCATATCGATATTGAAAACGTAAATTTTCTTGGCGTTTTCTTTGCTTTTAAATTCCTTGTGAACTTGCGATATAAGCAGACTAATAATATAAGTACTTATACACTTGCATTAGGATGCTAATCTTAGAGAAAAATTCTCAGGAACTTCAAGAAAATTTTGAGAATAAAATTCAACTGAAAAGATTGGAGTCCGCAGCTATCACGCCAAATGCCGGTTAGCGACTGAAACATGGTTTTCACATAAAGCAAATGAAACTTTTGCAATTCTTACATGATTTATTTATGACGCAAAAAATATTGCATCGGCTTTCACGTGTAAAATACGACTGTTACGTGTTCTAGATGCAAGACGTGTTCTAAATGCAATATACCGGCGTTTAAAAGCTATGAATAAATAAAAAATAGCAAAGCGTAAGTTAATGTTTTAGTGATTTTTACGTTTGCTGGTAATTAATGCATAGACCAGAAACGTCCACTCCTTATAACCGGATATATACGTATATGAAGAATTAGTATAGGTTGGCAGAATTTCTTCTTTCAAGCAGGTTTCATTGAAGACCAGAGAATGAATTATACCAGACTCTGGTATATGAATTCTTCATATACCAGAGAATTCTCTGGTATATGAAGAAATACACACGAAGGGAAATTTCCGTGCGGCAGTGATCCCATGTCTTTTCAATCACATTGATTTTCCAAATGAAATAAATCATACAAAAGTTCACGCTTATTCTTTCACATTTGCTCACAACAGCTTGTCACCAACACCAGCATAATGTCCTGAAATCGCGCGTCACGAGCACTGGCCCGCATCACTGCTGGACCGCGACTCTGGCGCTGGACTGACACGTGAGGCACGCGCGGAGCACTGGCCCGCCTCACTGCTGGACCGCGACTCTGGCGCTGGAGCACAGGCCCGCCTCACTGCTGGACCGCGACTCAGGCGCTGGACTGACACGTGAGGCACGCGCGGAGCACAGGCCCGCCTCACTGCTGGACCGCGTCTCTGGCGCTGGACTGACACGTGAGGCACGCGAGGAGCACAGGCCCGCCTCACTGCTGGACCGCGACCTATAGGCGCTAGACTGAAGTCTTCCGTCGTTCAGTGGCAAGTCAAGTGAAGGGCAAGCTTCGTTCAGTAAATACCGGACCGCAGCTTTCGGATACCACGGTTCTCACATGTACTTTTTCATAATGTTAATTTTAACCATGTTAAGCTCATATAACATGTCAGAATAAGCATGTTACTTGTCGCCAAAATGTGCTAACCTGTTATATGTTGATACGTGCGTGAATCACTATATTAAAAGTGTTTTTTAACTTTATATAACAATAGTTAAATTGACGATGTACGCCTGATTTGTATTTCATTCCATTTTTTGCTGATCTGAATGAAATGTTATTAGTTACAATGACATTCGTATGCTTGAAGAATACCATGAATGAATGATTTTCGATGGCCCTTAATTTTCATAAGAAATAAAAACCCGGTCCCCTTTCATGTACGTTTTCTTTTATTTCGGCTAACAATTCACAATGTATGACGTACTGCATTACGAAGGGTCTTTATTCCGAATTTCATTTTGTCCTAGTTTATGTATAACATAATAGGGAATTAGTGATTCTTGATACCAGTTGGTTGACGATGAGGTAATGTATGATAGAAAGTTCTAGTGAATCACTCAAGGAAAAATGGTCATTTTGGCTCTCTTTATGCCGCCAGCTATTGTAGATTTTTCATCCTTATAAATTCGAAAAATTTACCCTCTTTTGCACAAAATTAAAGTTCTGGCCGTGCAATGAAAACATATTTGCCTAAAAATCGTACCAGATTAGAAGAGTAATAAAAAACGATATCACCATTAAAATGTGGGTACAATCAAGAAGAAAATATTCGACGATGAAGTGAGATGAGCTACAGCTTCTCGGCAATTGACAGCAAGATATTTTCTTTCCTTGTTATATACTCACAATTCTTAAATTATTCAATCACATCTAGACATTATATTTCATAAATTCGTTCTTCACATTAATAACATAAACAAGCATATTATATAAACCAGATTGAGACATGAAGCACATGAAGAAGCATTTCGAACATTCAAGGTATAAAAACAGAAATTCACGTTTTTTGCTGAAATTTCGATGAGAATTAGTTATCGCGATATTAATATTTTAAATATACTATTAGAAAACTTTGAAAATTGAACTTTATCCCAAAATTTGAATATTTCTCGGCCTCAGCTCTTCTGTTCCTTATATATAGTTAATTATGTGTCCTTTTTATCAATGTATATGAAGACACAAAGCTATATACAACGATCAGCATGAGACTCTTTCACGAGCTGTTAAAGTAACAGGGCGAAGTCATTGAAATAAAATTCATGCGTAATAAATGAAACCCATCCAAGAGACGATTTCTTCATCACAGCAACGGCATGCACTACATAAATCGATAAAGAATATAGCAAGGATCAATTTCGACTAGGAGGTTCTAAAGATCAGTCAGTTGAATCCCACCAGACATCTGACGTTAAAATAACGTTGATAATACATAGTTTCACTAAATTAACTCTTTATTAACGTTATTACAACGCCATTTGCCTGGATGGGTGTTAGTTTACAGTTGTTATTGTACTCACGAGACCAGCACAACGAAGTACGACGACCGCCACTCACCCTCTGCAACGAGACAACTGCAAGGTGAGCATTACGTTCATGACCAAACATCACTTCAGTCCAGTCTCAAAAGGATTACTGCAGTATTTAAAAAAAGGAGGTGAATAAATATCTCTTAAAAATACGCAATCAGTGCAAGCCTCCTGTAAAATCACTTGTTCGTTACGATTTTTTATTCTGTTTGATAATTATTTATCATTTTGAGACTGGCAACTGGTAGGCTGCACGTACAGCGCAGTTGGCATCCGTTGTTCATTCTGATTATAGAAGAGTTGGCCATAGTCCGATAGAAAATTTGTAAGCCAAAGAAAACCCTGCATTCGGTGGGAAGCTTTACAATAACATGTGAAGCACTGGCACATTCAATATATATAACAAAGATTAAATTTCTCGAATGAAGTAGAGCTTTAATTGCAAGTAATGCTATTTAAAAATTATGCTTTGAACATGTATGTTGTTTATTTGAAAAAGTAATCCACGACAGCAAAGGCTAGCAAAAAAGCATAAGCATAGCAAGCTGATAGGAGTGCCGTTCTGCAGCATTGCAGATGGCACGAAAATATTAAATTATCGGTGCTGTCAGTTCGGCATCGGTGCAAAGAATCATTTAATGTTTGGCTAAATCATTTCTTTCCTGAAACCTCGAACATCAGCAGTGCAGCATTGACATATGTTGAGCTCTTACCGTTCGCTGAAGCACACAATGAAATAGAGTTAATGTTTTTAATATTACTTAATTTCTATGATAGTATTTATATACACGGTGATCGAACAAGTTGAACAAATTAATGAATAATTATTTACAGAAAATAGCACTTAAATTATTCTCTTCTCACTCATCATAAGTTAAAACACCTCAGTAATATTCCATGATATAGGTTCTGAGAAAATTGTATGCGATCCTCATAAAATCATCCTGCACAACTTCTAAAATGAAATTTTTCATCCTATACTTCAACTTTCAAAATTAGGTTTCAAGCCTCAAACAGCAAATTGGGATTTGTATGAATATTTTCTTGGCTCGCGAAAAGTCTACGCATTTTACAACAGAAATTCAAGTATCTAACCAACGACGAACTGAGCAAGAAATGTATATAGTTAGTTGGTATTGTTCTATAATTTTAATCGAATAATTCGGTCGCTTTAAATTTAATGAAAAAAATTTCGCCGCTCCAATCAGTCACTGTTCGATTAATTTATAAAGGTTATGAATATTAACACTTATGGCGTGGAAATTTTTGAACCAAACACTTATTTTATGTTCGTAGTTGTAAATTTCTGACGCTCACTTGGCGCGTTTCAGGGAACATCAAAGTGCGAATAAAACATGTTTATAGGGAGACGGTATTGCGCGGAGAGGACATGTAGGGAGATTGTAAAATGGGAAAATGGGATATAGAGGAATTGTGAAATATTGAGATTGGTTTTAGAAACATCGTTAAATGAGGAGAAGAGAAACTGGGAGATCTATAATATGGACACATGATACATGGAGATTGCGAAATTTCGAGAGAGAATGCAGGAAAATCGTAAAATAAGGAGAGAAAATGAAGAGAAATTGTAAAATAGGGAGTTAATACTGAGTGAATGCAAAATGTGGAGAAGGCATCTAAAGATATTGTAAAATTGGGAGAGGTAATACAGTGAAAACGTAAATTAGGTTGAGAGGTGAACGCAAGGAGATCATAGAATAGGGAGAGTGCATACAAAGTGATCAATGAATGGATACTGACGCAAAATAGGAATAGGTAATAGTAGATGAATATTTAGTGATCGTACTCGAACCAGGCGCACGAGGTCCCAGGAAAAACGCAATAAAAACTGTTAGAAGTGATTAATTCCGAGAAAATTAACGATACTTTAGGAAGATTTGTTTTGAATAAAATGTTTATTACTCATCGTAAAAAATTTTCTTTGTAACCGCGTTTTTTCCTTCCAATTTTGATCAAAATAGAAAATATCATCCAAGGGTAGTGAATAATGTGGAATAAATTCAGCTTATAGCGCGAGATTTGCCAAAATTTCACTACAGCTTTAAATTTGTATCACTTTTTTGTGAACAAACATAGTCTCATAAGATTTATTGTGAGTGAAACGAATAGAATAATTAATTTCTTGAAAAAAAGTCGGTGTTAATAAATGAGTTCTACATTCCAGATTACATTAACCTGATTTAAGTGGATTCATCTAATTTTTTGCCGCGGAATTAGCTTAAATGAGATGTTCCATAAATGGCCACGTATAATAAACATTTGTCACTGCAATTGCCTCTTTAGTGGCCATTTTTCGTTCTAGATTTTTGTTAAAAAATAGAACACCAATTCTTCCACCACTGACATATGAAATGACAGCACAGGTGCTGGTAATTTTAACATGGGTGTAATTTCTATAGAATCGTAAACCTTATAGACAGTTCGAGAATAGGAAGTGTAGAAACATTTTGGTTAGGAATTTTTCACATATAGTGAGGTTAATGAATCGAAATTTTATGTTAGTGCTTAATTTATTCACTTCTTATACAGATAAATGCAGGAGAAATGGCCTTCGCTAAACACATTTCTGATATAACGATTGCAAAAAATACAGCGGAACTAATTAATAGTTTATATGCATATATTATTATTTTTTATAAAAGATAATTTTCATGCTCGATACATTTTTTCGAAACCAACGAAAACGGTGCAGGTTAATACTTTATTTACAAAGACTTCTGATTCATATCATCTTCATTCAAAATAAATAATAAAGATACTAATGGAACCGGCCCGATACTTTCATTGAGATTAAGATAAAAATTACACTCAAGACTAGACCTGAAATTTTTGGAACGAATCAAACAAAATAATGTCTTACGAAAATGTTATCAACAATAAGCGTTATAATTTTACACGCAAAAGCTAATACTTACAAAGCAAAGACCTGCAATTCCCTCCTATCACTAATACCAATTTAAACAAGAACGGATTCATCAACGGCACACGTGATGCTTGCCTTGTATGGCTGATTAGGCTGATATAAAGTTAAAATTGGTCATATATTAGGAATAAATTAAATAATTCTCCGTTGCCTTATCCCTAACAGCAAAGAAAAAGCATTAAATTAACAACCAATAATTTTCTACTCGATTCGGTCAATAATAGAGTCAGCCATTTGAGAAGCTGTTGTCAGCAGTCGGGGTCTTCGAACACCCACCAACGAGAACAATTAAAAATCAGGAGGAAAATTCTGGAAGTGAGTTTTTTTTAATAATGCCCTGACTTGATTTGTAATGGGCTAGTCGAGTGAATTCAACGTCCACTCGAAAGTTGATTTCCAGTCTTGTCTGAAATTTTCATTTTAACATTAACGAATAAATGCTGGAACATTAATTCAGGCCATCAGCGCTAACTAGATTCAATTTTGAGTTTTTTTGAGGATTGTTTCAAATTACACTACAATATTAGCGAACGTATAATTTTATATACGCAGCATTTCGCATAGGTGTAGCCATAATATTTTTGCTTCTGTCTGTGAAGGCTTTTTTCGAAAGCCCGTTGATCATGTAAAACGCAATTAAGTGGAAGAAAAAAATCATATTTAGCATTGATAAGACTTACAAAACAACGAAAAACTGGGAACTTTCGGAACCTAGAACCATCTCAAAATCCAAAAAGGGTTAGATTTTATTAAACTTTGAAGAGAATGGTTTGTCAGTGAATATTAACTGTTCTAGTAACTACTAGAACAACTATCAATTATCTTATTTTTATTTTCTATTTTTTCATTTTCTTTCACCATGTCATAATAAATTCTTACACGCTATTCTTGCGAGTGCCAGAGGGCCGATGTTGCAATTACTCATTGATCCATTTTTGTACGAATTTCACACGTTACTGCGTTATGCAGATGAGAATTCAGAACAGTAAATAAAACCAATGACTCTAAAATTTCTGCACCGATAGCATCCCTGAGGAGACATCATTCGCGTGGCCTTAAGATAGAGCTGAGGCAAGACTCGAATGTCAGCACACAAAGAGCCTCGGAATATTGTGCGACGATTGGCGCTAGGCAATATCGCAGAGTGACGTACAAAGAAGGTTCCGGACAAGCAATGCGGGTAGAAGTGAATGTCACAATGGAGGAAAGGATCGATTTTTGCAACTACTATTCAGCGCGAGTGTGAATGCTAGAAGTCCGACTATTTATATCTTAGTATATAGATTCTGTCTTTACTTATTTTCATTTAAGGACTGAATAACGAAGCTATAAATAATTCATTGAATGTACTCGATCGTATTCCATTTTTGTAGATGAACATACGGGAATTGACGGAAAATAAGGGTACATAAAACTGCTTTATCGCATCATCGATCGAATTGGCTTGAGATAAACGTTTTATCGTTCAACACATCAGCTTAAAATTTCCTGAAATAATTTGAAGTGAAAGAAGCCTGGCATTCAGTCCTGCGCCTAGAAATTTTAGTCCAGTCCCCGTATCTCGCAGGGTACAAGACTTACGTCTATTGAAGGGTCGCTATAGAATTTTACACTCGGCCGAGGAGAAGCTCAAAGCTTGCCGGTCTCTGTTCGATATTTGTCAGTTCAGCAAAACGAGATACGAAGTAGCGCGCCCAGTCACCCTTTCGAGTTGATGTATTAAGTTTCGGAATAATATTCATCAAATGATAAGTTGAAGTCTGAAATTTCGTAGGTGCACAATTGTACAATTCGTGAACAAATGTGCGACAAATTTACCCTTGTACTTAAATTGTCTTTTAAATGAAGTTTAGTTCATTTAAGAGACCATTTCGCCAAAGTCTTGATAAACGAGTATCATGTTTTCGAACCGTAAGTTGATGAGCAATGTAAAAATGTACAATGTATTGAAAACTCTTACGTAAGAATTCAAGTGACTTCTAAAGGTATATTTTGTAGAAGAATTCATTTGAGATTCAATTAACGTTAAAGGAGCGACTGTTTTTCTCAAGTTTAAAATTTTATGCTAAAAAACATTCAAACTAAGG